CATTGTAATTTGAGCCTCGTTGCATGCAAAAGGAAGGACGTTCTTACAGCAATGCCAGAAGCACTCCAAGTGGTCAGCTTCTGGTCAAAGGAAATTTAGCATAATGCCAAGTGCTTTTTTTAACTCTGTTTTTAAACTATGTTTGTGGCTTTTAAACTTTGTGGCTGTTTATACATTATAATTGTATCCTCAATCCGCTTCTGACATAAATAAATAAGTCAATTCTTACTCATGATGAATGGATGCTTTAAATGGTTGATGAATAGATGATTTAAATAATCTAGACTTAGCTCCCATCTCCAAGACATCTCATGTGCAACAACATGTATTCCAAAATCTAAAAAAAACCCAAAAAACAAAAACAAAATCCAAAACAATTTTGATACCAAGCATTTTGGATAAAGGATATTCAACCTGTGTTTTTTTTAAAAAAATTTTTTTTACATCAAACAAGAAATAATATCTTGTCAGCTACAGGACTCTATCTAATCATAGGTAGAAATCTGCCTTTCTACAGTTCTTGTTGTTAAGAATGCATCAAGTCCTATTCAGAATTCAGACACTGTATGTGTCCATATGTGTGTGTTACACATGTTTTAGATTTGATTCAAAATAATAGCTCTAAAATATTTTATGGCAACTCCTACTCTAGTATTTTATGTACCATCTAAAGTTCATCAGGGTGCACCTCACTTCCAGAGATCACTAATCTTTTTTTAGAAAAAGTTACTGTCATAAACCCAATGTAAATATTCTTGTTTTTTTCTATTTAAAATAATACTTTCTATTGATTTGTATGAATGTTCTAATGATCTCATTACTTGTATTGATATATTGGCACCTTAAGTGTCACCTCAATGCATGGAAACATCCTGGGAGAAAACATATCCTGTATAGAGAAGGGATGGGTACTCTCCTAATCCATTGGAGGCTGCAGCAGCAACTATTAGCTGCTCTTTGCTTCAGTGGTGATTTTCTAATAGACTAAAGTCTTGCTTTAGTGTATGTGGAAAGTTCTAGCATTGTTTTTTAAAACAAAAGTGAACTTTCAGATATTTTCATGTTTGAGAAACATTTCAAAAATGATATTTGAAGCTGTATTTTATTTACATTTTACAATAACACAGTAAGCATGGTAAGCAAAAACTGCCAAAACTCCCTCATTCTTATGTTTTGCTCCTTCTTCCCCAAATGTCAATGCAGCTTATGTGGGAGAAAGAAATGATGAGAAGATCATTGAGAGTATTGGAGTTCTAGCATTGTATAGAACTTATTTAATAGAAGTTTTCTCTTTCAAGCCTTTAAAGGTCAAGTAGACAAACCAACAGCTGCACAGTCACTCTCATTGTGGATGCTTTGATTTAGCAGGCCTAATATGAACTTTGATTTGAGAATCATGACAATTGCTTTCCTACAAGTGTTTATAAGAAGATTGTTAATATTTGTCGTGATGAAGTAAAGCTGCAGTAGTGTGGCTACTGGAAGCTTTACTTTTGCACGCACTTCATGTTTCGTCTTCTAATTGCTGGCCTCTCCTTTAGATCTCAGCGTGAGGTTTAATCTATGCTTTTATTTCCCAAAAAGGCAAAGTAAGAAAACATCTTTATTAGAACTAAATTGGCCATGAGTCCTTTTTTAAAAAAAATCCTATAAAATATTATATTTGCTTGCTTCTGTTTCCAACTAATTTGAACAATTTACTTTTATATTTTAAAAATAATCAGTGGACAAATGTCCATTGTTTCTCTTGGTGAAATCTGAAATCTGTTGAGCCCTTTGATAGTCTTACTTAATTCTCTCTAGTTAAGTGTTGCCAGGTTTTCAAAATAGCAACAGCACAAAATCAAAATTAAAGATTGACAATCAGGAAGTTCTTCCTAAATTCTAAATGAAAGTATTGATTTCTATTAACCTAGCTATGTATTAAAGAGCTAATGTGGTGTATTAGTTTGAGCGTTGGACTACGTTTCTGAAGATCAGCATTCAAATCCCTGCTTAGACACAGCAACTCACTGGCTGACCTTAGGCAAGTCATAGCCTCTCGACCACAGAGGAAGGCAAAGACACACACCATCCTTGAATAAATCTTGCCAAGAAGACCTATGATAGGGTTGCCTTGGATCACCATAAGTTGGGAATGACTTCAAGGCACACAGCAGCAATAAGTTCTGCATTTCTCTTTCAAATAAACATGTTATCCAAATTTATAGGTTACATGATGCACGTATACAAGACATTTTGGACATTCTGTTGAGTTTCTATAAAAGGGAAAGCTCTCCAATCATCAAACTGAGGGCATCTCTTATATAAGAGGCATCTAGCAGTCCTATAATAAGCCTATAATAAGCCACATTTCAGCCTCAGATAAAAGACATCTTGTTTATTAAGGTACAACTAGAAACCTTGCTTCTGTTCTTCATAATAGTGATACAGATTGTAAACTTTGGTACTTTTCTGTCATTCTTAACCTTTCTGTCTTCCAACATTACTCTGCATTTTTTAAGATTGTAGGGTTGAAGACAGGTAATTGTCACATTAGCAATTTGTAAACACCTTTGGAAATAATTTTGGCTGATGTATTAGCAGCATCACTGCAATAGGTAGGATACATGTAGCCCTATTGCTCCTGGCCCTTAAACTCAACACTGCCTTCCATTGGTCTTAGCAGTGTAGAGGTATGGTTGTTAGAACCCCATTTTTTACCTTAGAAAACAGTGTAGGGAACATATTTCCTTTTAGAAGAATAGGAAATATGTGTTGACTTCTGGTTAACACATGCTACTGAATGTGTGCAGTAGCAGTAGTGGGTGGTACAGGTGTAGCCTACAGTATTATTTTGCCTCCTTCTGACAGGACAACAGATGCAGCCAGGGCACAGGTATGAGTATTTGAGGAGCAAGGAGGCAAACATCTGTAGCACAACTGCAACAGCCCCAGACTGCTTTATAGTCAGCCTCTTTGGAAAAGCATAGATTGGTTTCTGGAAGAAGCATCAGAGCCAATTCATCAAAAGTATTCTCTCTAGTTCTGGTATTTTGGCTTGGATCCTGCTAAATTCTGCTAATAGCTTCTAGCTAGTTCTGCAAATCCCTCCACTACTTTGTTCAACTTGGTTCTGGACAGACTCTTTAGGCTTCTTGATCCCTGGACTGTTTTGATTCACACTAATTGTATTCAATAAATAATTCTGTAAAACAAGTGGGATTGCTTTCAAACACTGAAACATTTTTGGATCTGCCACCACTACCAAAGTATTCTTTGTAACAATGGAAGTCATATCTGTGCAGAAGCAAATGTGTTTAATAGCACCCTCATGTTCTTGAATTAACCAAGGAAGGTCTGTATCTGTTTAGGTTATCCCTAGGCAGATTCACAACAACTTTTACGTTGTAGAAGGGGTCTTCAAAGTATATGATTATTACTTGTTAGAAAAAGTGAGACGTATGTTATAGTATTGCTGCTGTAGCTTTTAAATGCTTACAATTGCAATCAATAGATAGTATACTTAGTATTATCTTCCTACCATTATTAAAATGAATTTTCATAATCATACATTAGAAAGTGGGGAAGGAAATGCCATGTCTATATAGAGATAGCAACCACATTCATGAAGCAATCCCAAATCTGAGAAGGTAATTTACAATTAGGATTTTTTTAGGGGAATAAAATATTTGATGCTATAACTGCAGCTAGATCAGTTACCATAAGTTATTACATTGTTGGAAAAATTTTCTGAACACAGTACAAAAATATACTTAAAAATGAGAAGCCTGGTCAGCTATATTCACTATGATTCTACATTTTGACATACTTTATGCTTTATGTTGCTGTTTAATTATTGTTCAGTGGGTTCCTTCAGATTCACACAGAATCTGAGTGTTGAATGGCTTCAAATCCAAAGGCAAAATAAGGTTTGCAACAAAGATCTGCAACTGCTTATTTCTTTTGAGTAGTAAATAATACCAGCAGGTATAGGGAAATGCATTCTTTCAGACTGAGAAACACTTTTGTAGATAGCCTAGAAAGGTCTCCCTCGCCACTTTCATAAAATTGATCAGAAATTGAATAGAAGGTAATGGTGATGAAAACAAATAGACTCTAAGGCAACCATCCAGAGGTCCTTGGTCATCAGGCACTTTTCCCTTAATTGGAAATGTTGCTAGTGTTTGCAACTTCATTGTTGGCCTACTATTTTTTTTGTTTTGTTTTTGTTTTTGTTAAACATACAAAGTTAGAACAAGTAAAAATCATGAGAAAATGCAAATATAATTTTAAAGGAAATACATTCTCTCACATTTCTGAGTGTCTTTATGTTTCCTCTCTATTATGTTCACTGCTATAAATCTTAGGTGAATACTTTCTTTTGGCTTTGGGTTTGAAGCTATTCAACACTCAGATTCTGTCTGAAACCGAAGGACTCCAATGAATAATAGCTGAGCAGCAACACAAAACATCATTTTTCAGTAACTGTTTATAAATGCAGTAAAAAAAGGTTCCTATCTGATAAAACACATAGCCTAATGGTGTAATGGTGCTTGTCTTCCTCGAAAAACATTTAACATATGCGATAGTGCTAAGTGCTTATCATTCTAGGCTGACTAAATTAATCACTTTCAAACGTTTGCAGTGTGCGGTTAAACACGCATGCACTCCAATGAACTCTTTTTATTCAATTCCTTATATTATTGTTCATTCATGAAACAATGCAAACTAAGTAATAAAAATGACATGATATAATATTTTGAAATGATTAAAAGTAACCTTATTCTTTGCATTTCTTTGCTGCCAATTAAGGATCAGTTAGATTTCTAACTGATCCTTTTATTGTGAGTAACAATATATGCATAAATTAGAGTTTTGATTCTGTTGGCATGCAAAGAACCACTGGGGAAACACTGATTTTTAGAGTAAAGATCATATTCATTGTAACGTCTATTTGCTTTATTACTTAATAAACAAATAACTGAAGGGTTGCTATTATAAATGTTTGTTGTTTGCAGGTGGAGCTGAGAACTAGCCTTTCAAGTCAGTATGTAATTCGCACACAGCCCACAAACACCTGTCTCTCCACACTTGAATGTGCAGCTGTTGCCCTTGCCATCATGGAAAAAAATGAGAGTATTAAAGAGGTAAGTAACTTTAAGGTTCTTGACTTTACTAATTGAATTGAAAGGTGCAATGCAGTTTAATGAATGGGACTGTATTTAATGAACCACAACCCTATAACACTTTGTAAAAGCTCGTAATTTGTTAATTTCAAATAATCTAGCTGAAAGAATCAATATCTCCAAAAGTCTGTCACACTTTCTTACATAGTTACTTCCACGTCTTTAAAGTAGCCATGTAACTAATCTTTTGCCATTGTATGTTTCATCCCAAACTTGTGATACACCAGTCTTTCAGCAGTGTGTAATTTGAATCTCCCAGTATGACCTAAAGCTTGAGCTGTTGTGAAATCCATTTTCCTACCTTAGGAAATTATTTCAGGTAGTAGTGAGGTTTTTGTTTGTTTGTTTTTGTGGCAGGAGTGACTTGAGAAGCTGCAAGTCGCTTCTGGTGTGAGAGAATTGGCTGTCTGCAAGGATGTTGGCCAGAGGATGCTCAGATGTTTTTGATGTTTTACCATCCTTGTGGGAGTCTTCTCTCATGTCCCTGCATGGGGAACTGGAGCTGACAGAGGGAGCTCATCCACGCTCTCCCCAGATTCGAACCTCCTGCCTCTCAGTCTTTAGTCCTGCTGGCACAAGGGTTTAACCCATTGTGCCACGGGGGCTCCTAGTAGTGAGGTGGAGATGGAATTATTTCTAAGAAAGCCTCAGTGGTTTGATGTAATACAAAAATGTTGAGGTACTGAAGACAAACTGAGAAAAAGATAGAATAAGTATGATGAAAGATTACTTATCTTCTGAATGAATATGAAGATGATATTAATCCCATTATGGATTGTGTCTTTAATTACATTTTAAATTGTTTCTAAAACCTTTGTGAGTTTTGCTGGAATGGCAATAAACTCAAGGTGGGAAATGCATACTATTTAGTTTCATTTTTGTAAAAAAAAATTCTATTGTAAAATTGTTGGGCTACAAATGTCTAATGCAAAAAAAACCCACAAGAGGTGGAATTATTAAGAATGTGTATATTTCATTCAAAATAGATTTATTTGTTGTGTCTCAATCTCTGTCTCCACAAATATACTATATTAAAGATTTGTTTTTTTTAACAAAAGAATGTTAATTCTAGTAATCTAATGCAAAAAACATGACAGTAATTATAACATAATGTTTAGGGCAAATTGTAAAAAGATGTGTGGTTTTGTGGATTAGAATAAATGTATTTTAATCAAAAGTAGTCATATTGATTTCCATTGATTTCATTCGCCCTCCCACACACACTTAATTCATTTCAGATGCACATCTTCGCCATCTTTAAGACTGGTTTTGACTGGTTAAAATATCTGTTTGCTTTAAAACAGATGGGTAAGTCATGGCTGCATGTGACCCCCCCCCCCAAAAGGCCATTTTGAGGCTCCAAAGGCCCCTCTCAGCACTCCCCATTGTTTTTGATTTACCTGCTTAGGAAATGGGGATATTTTTATTATATGAAGAGCAGGCTGTAATCCTGAAAATGTTCTTTTAAAAAAGGACATAAACCAGAAGTCGATTCTAGGGATGTAACGAGTGTTTTTGTTTATTTTTAAAGTCCTCCACAACCTCTGGTAGTTCAAGTTCCCATGGGTGGGTCAATGCAACCCTAACCCTAACACACACACACACCCCACACACACACACAAACTGCCCCCTCCACATAAAGTGAATCGCAAACATATGTATTGCATCAAATTAGGTCCTTGATCTCCCTCTCAGTGACTGTTGACAAAGGTGAAATGTTTCTGGATTTTAGAAAGTACGAGTTCTTTTTTTCACCCCCACTCCAGGTTATATGTGTTTATTTTTCTTGTGTATCATAACATTTCACGTGTAACTCAAAATTTTCTTTACTGAAATAGTATCAAAAACTTATTCCAAGGTATGATCAACTCTGAAATATTATGAGGTGCTGCCATTCCAGTATAAACAAAACAATGAATAGTGCTGTCTAAAATTCATTTCTGTTTTGCTACTCCACAAAGATGACCTGAGCAACCCTTGAAGCGAGTTTGAAGATTAAAAAGTATTTGTAAACCCATCTCAATAATCAGAAGCCTTCCTCTCATCTCAAAAGTGTAACCCACTCAGTTATTTCAATCTACTAATCAGCTTAAAACTGCCAAATGTTATTACAAGAACTTGGAACATGAGAGCCGAGAAGTCTAAGTTTATTCTACTAGGTCAAAGCATAACATGAAGGCATTAGCCTTTGCCTTCCAAGTTATCCCACTAGTTTGTGATGGAAGACTCTGTCAAGATTCTAAAATAGCTTCAGTGCACTTTGCCTCTTGTCCTTAATGCTGGAAATGTTACATAGTCATTAGCACTTTTTGAGAGAATCCTACCAGAATACAATATGGTACAAAACTCATTTCTCATGGTGTTATATTTTATATAAAAGTATAAGTGGATGTCTGAAAAATTCTTTAAAATGTTAAGGTTAAGGGTCGTGTAACATAACAAATACTGGCTTTCCAACCCAACTTTCCAGGACAAATTTCTTTAATGTTACTCGATTGATTGATTGATTGATTGATTGATATCCCACTATTCTTCCAAATGGGACATGAAGCAGTTTGTAATAGTATGAGATCATTGGAACACTTGCATATGATATATAAAATTTACATTTTATTTGTTTATGCATCTAAAATGGACCACGTGAAACCAACTGAGAGCACAGTCTAGTAGGCACTCATTTTAGATATTTCCTTTTGCAACTTGGAAAGATAATGAGGCCCAGGTTATGTTTGAAGTGCTTTTCCATGCTGTTTCTTTTTAAAATTTAAACTTACCTAGGCAATCATTTTTATGTTACATTTGTACACCTACAAATACTAGACATAACTGAAAAAAATGACATTAAGTACTTCATAGATCTTGAAAAGCTACTTTTTTCTCAGTCCATAATTCAGCAGTAGCAGGATGTCTGAAAGACGATTCTTGTTTTTTAAGACTTCCTTAATGACATTTTCCTGCATTGTCTTGTAGGCTAGTTATTTTCAAGAAAAGAACTGGTATATTTTTAAAAAGGGGATTGTTTCAACATTCCTTCCAGAATTCAAGAAAAAAAACTATGATGTTAATAGATTAATTCAGTATTATCTTCCACATTGCAAGTATGCGGATCAGGAATGAGGCTGAAAGAAAGTGCTTATCTTCCCTGTGGTTAGTTCATGACACAGATTAGATTTGAACAGGAACAACCTCATTCATAGTTCATTCTCTAAATTACTACACTACACTATGCTACATCATCTCTCAAACAGTAATCAAGCCTTCATGAAATGGCCTGTAGCCTTCAAAACTATATCCTTCCTGCTGCATAAAATACTTCATAATGGAAGGAAGTAGTTAATGATTTAAACTGTTCGGGAATTCGCTTCAGCGTGCATAGAACTAAAACTGGGTGGTGGGAACATCGTGACACCACTTAGTGTACTACTTAGACCCTTGCATGTTGAGTGTGAAGAAAGCTCTGTAATCTTGCTTCACTGAATGCAGTTACAACGTTTCCATTAGCAGGAACCCAACCATATCAGGATTCTCAGTCACAGAAACTTTGTCACCAAATTCAATTAGCATACGCCATTTCAGGTACTGTCACTCAACATGCTTGGGACCAAGAACTACAATATTTACTCGAGTCTAACGCTAGCTTTTTTTGGCTAAATTGCATTGCCATAATTAAGATGCTCATAAAAGTTGGTGGGTTAGAATTGCACACATAAACCCACTTGAATGAAAGGACTATTTGGGAGCCTTCACAGCTTCTAGATTTTTTGGATACAATGAAAAGCATGGATTCCTTCCAAAATCCATGCTCTTCTTGTCTTTTAGTCTTTGGATTTTTCTTTTAAAATTGGCATTGTTAGTTCTGTGTACCTAATTCTAAACATTTTCCACAAACTATTTTTGTTTTATTCTGCTTTATTTAAAAATAATTGCGATATTAAGGAAATATGAAATACATGATAATACATAGCTAAAGCATCCTTACTTGAACATGATTTCTCTGAAAGCAGTGCTAGTTCCAATAATATATTCAGGTCATTTTCTTTATATAGCTGCAAGAGTGTGAAAGCTAGATAAAATAGTATCTGAAGACTATAAAAAACATCTGAAGCTTATATTTAAAGACATTTTCTTTTACTTCTTCTTCTTCCCAGACTGTACTCCGTCCTCTTCAAGCTTTGTGTTCTTTCCAGCTTCAGCATGGTGCTCAAGTTCATCACAGCAAGGAACATCTTCTTAAAAATGGTTTATACGACAAGCCAATGCCAAAAAATAAACGCAAGCTCAGGAGAATGGAACTTCTAGTCAATAATGTTAAAATTTAGCAGTGTCATGTGGATTTAGTAAAATCCCTTTTAGCTAATGAAATGGAGTTTCATATGGATTTAATCCAACCATCTTTATAATGGCGTGCATTCATATGGCGGCTTGCCCAGAAGATCAAGCAGAATTCAAAACCAGACAGTTTGGATCTTTGCCTTAGAGAAAGAAATACACAAGAGGTGTCATCTCCCTCCCACCCCATATTTATCAGTCTGTGATCTGTGTTACAGCATATTTGATTTTTATTATGGGGGCCCTTGCGCATTCCTGCAGAAGTAACATACATTTTAAAGAACATTGGGCCAGTGAGAAGGATTCAATAATTGAGAACAGAATATTCTCATCAAGGTATTTGATTTGTAATGAAAATGGGGATTAAACCATAATTTGAATATTTTCTTTTATTTTTATTTTAATCAAACAAATGAATAGACATAATAATAGTCATCACGTTAAAGAAAGAATGAGGTTGTCAGAGCTTACCAGTAAATATGATCAGTGGAAAGCAAGGCTTTTGTCTTGGAAACAGCTTTGTATAAATGGAATTCAATACCATACAAATGTAGTAGTGTTTTATTAATATTGTGTATAGTAAACATGTACACAGTGAGCAGATGTATGCATCTTCAGAATGTACAATGGATGTGAGCCAGTAAGCTGGGGCCAACTGGATGGCAACACAATAGTGTTACTGTTTGGCTGGAATTTGCTATGGTGAACATCTGCAATAGGGCAAAAGATGTGGAATTCCAGATTTCCCCAGCCAAATTCTCTGCAGGTCAGATAACCCTGAAAAACTATGGAGTTCACCTTCTGGGGGTATTTGGTCCCAACCCATTTATGTTCCCCACCCCTTCTGTATGTGTTAACTGTATCACATTCCAGTCTAAAAGTAGTACACCTTTTCTATTCAAAATGAGTTCACACAAGTTTCAAATTGTGAGTACATTCAGTACTAGACTTCAAATTTTCTGTTTTCAGTACTATTATGGAAGTATGTTGACATCGTGAGTCATATAAAAGCCTGGTGTACACAAGAATATGGATGTTTGGTTTCCCAAAAAAAAAAATTTCTTCTTATGGTATGTATTTTGAAGTATCAGGTTATACAATGAGTTGCAACTGATTGTCATTATTTTAAAGTAATGTCAAAAATGTTGGAAAGTCTGACTTTTAAATGGAAGAGCATGGGACTTTTAGTTTTTCCTATGGGAATGGAGCAAACTTTGAAAGTCCTATACCTAATGTTTAAATGTGATGTATTCACACCTTTCTGAATCATGGGCACTAACTTTATTTCTACTTTAGGTTGTTGTTAGAAAAAAAACATCTGTATCAGAAACATTAAAATCTTTCCTGGCAGATCTTTCTAGAGAAAAAATATACACTGAGTATGAACCAGTTGTAGAAATATATGATTAATATATTGCTGAGTATCTAGATATACAGACATATATTTCATACTCAGAATATAGGGTGTGGGTATCTAGACAATACTAGTACTTCTGAGAATATAAATTCAAGTAAGAACTGCAGATGCTAACATAAAAACATTTCTATTGTAGATATACTCAAGCAATTGTTTCTATGAAACAAAATAGCAAATAAGCTTTTGTACATATTAATGGAGAAAACTCTCAGCTCCTTTGATGAATTCTTTCATACTTCATGTTCAGCAATATTACAGTTTAACACTTTTATTTTGTTATGAAGTCTATTTTCAACACCAGGAAGACTAATCTTTTTTCTTTAATAAAATATTCTTTTAAGGTCTGAGGATAAGAGGGAAATATAATTCCCTTAATTCACAAACAATTGAAAGAGAATGACTTGGTGTTTGTAATCAAAGAAACCTTTCAGTTATAATCCTATAACATGTATTTTTATTTAAAATAGATTAAAGCTGCATATTTATGAAAGGTCTTTCATTTCCTATATACTATATAGTCATTCTAATGCAACAGCTTTTTTCATTATTATTACTCAGAATAATGTTTTGCAGAGTGACATCATCTAGAATTAGAATTCGGTTGGATGTTTGTTCAGACCTTCTGTTTGCAACACATCATATGGTTGAATCCGTTTATTCATTTTACATAGGATTCTAATGTTTAATTCTGTTTTATCTTTATGTTTATCAGAAGTATCGTACACTGTTTTTATGTTTTTTACAAATGTTCCCATTATTTTCAGAAAAAAATAAGAACAGAAAAGATGTTCTAAAACTATTGTTTATGGTTATTTTCAATGTACAATTTTGTAAATCAGATCTACTGAAGAAAAGAGCTACATGTTTAGATTTAGTTAAATATAGTACTTTGGTTTTAAACCTTAGCAAAATATTTAATTCCCCACCCCCAATAATAGGATAGGATGTACCGTTCATTTTTTAAAGGGGCAAATGACTTGTTCATTCTGTTTCAGATCTGGGTTATATACTGTTCTAAAATTTTAAGAAAAATTAGTTGTTCTTCAAAATTGACATGACTTCACAAAAGCAGAAGTCATTTTACATGCTTGATGCAGTATATTGCTGAAATTAACATCATCTAGTACTATTCCTCCATTGAATTCAGCTTAGGCTCTTCTTATGGTTAGACATGTATAGGATCGTGTTCTTAAGGTCATTTGAGTTACCGACACTTTTTTTTAAAACTCCAGGTCAGTGGTTCTCAATCTGGTGTTTTGGCCTACAACTCACCAGAAATCTTAGCCAGTTAGGATTTTCGGGAATTGAAAACATCTGGGAACCCACAGATTGAGAACCACTGGTCTAAGTGATGGATTTGCTGTCTTTTACCAAAGGGATAGGGCTTATTTGCTGAGCTCAAATTGAAGGCATGTGTAGAAGATTTCTAGAGGCTTCCACTTTCCTGTGACATCCTAGTGTGGCCACTGCCTATGCACTTATGAGAAAAATTAATATTGGTGTTGGAAGGCTATTGCCTAAATATATTTTAACACGAGCTGAGTGAAAATTCTCACTGCTATAGTTGTAGTGGATTATTGTTTGCAGACTGAGTTGCAACTGATTGTACATCTGTATGCACAGTTATGCATTGAATGTCAAAATGTGCAGCTGCAACCACAGTGATGACCATAGGACCATAGTCTTAATCTGCATATGAAATACATCATGCCCTTTGTGTATGCAACTGCACTTTAACCTACAAGGAAGGGTGAAAATTTGAAAGGCATTGTTCTCTAATAATTTCTGATGGTTTTGTTTTGATATTGAATTTTCCTGTGTCATTTTAGTCTACACAGAGTTAAAGCAGAAATTTTGCTGTAGTTTTCTTCAATTTCTTATTAAATGAAAATTTTCTTTTTTAAAAAAAAGTCTGGACTCTTTATTGATGGGAATATTTTTAGCATTGGATGCTTGTTTGAGAACTGAATAAAGTATTACCAGTGGTCAGCAACCTGTGGGTCCCCAGGTGTTTTGGCCTACAAATCCCAGAAATCCCAGACAGTTTACTAGCTATTAGGATTTCTGGAAGTTGAAAGCCAAAACATTTGGGGACCCACGGGTTGAGAACCACTGTATTTGATTTTAACCTAAATTGATCATGATCTTTTCTGCCAAGAAGAAGAGATAGCCCAGGTGAAAATTAAGAGGAGCTGGCTTGAAATTTCACAATTGACTAGGAGCTGCATGGATGGAGGCAAGAGCATAGACAGAGTCAGAGGTGATGATTCAGAGTTCGGTGGCTAAGTTATAATTCATGACCACAGTTTAAAAATTCATAATGAGATAAAAGCAGGCATGTAGCTCTTAGGTGGTGTGAGGGTATTGCATCCCCAATAAATATTCTCCCCCATAAATGTTTTCTTCAACCCCTAAATTTCTAAAACTAGGTTAACTAAATATTTCAGCTGAACATTTAAAAATACAACGTAGACATCCAAGGGAAAGGTGAAGGGAAATATATCAAAGGAATGTGAATCCAGAAATTTGTACTTTAAGTTTGAATTATTTTTAATGTCTCGCTTTCTGCAATGCTATAATCCTGAACAAAAGTCATGTGATGTGTCAGCAATGACGTAGAACAAATGCCAAAGTTTTATAGCACGGGATAGAGTCAGAACCAAAACCCCGCCCACTGAACATTAAAGTGTTAATGCTTTTTTGTATTGTCAAAGGCTTTCACAGCCAGAGTACTGGCTTGTTGTGTGGTTTCTGGGCTGTATGGCCGTGTTCTAGCAGCATTTTTTCTGACATTTCAGGATTCTCTGAAGATGCCAGCCACAGATGCAGGTGAAACATCAGGAGAAAATGCTACTAGAACCTGGCCATACAGCCAGGAAACCACACAACACCCCAATACTTTTTTGTTGAACCTTAGACTATTAGGCCCCCTGGTGGTGTAGCCGGTTAAACCGCTGGGCTGCTGAACTTGCTGACCAAAAGGTTGGCGGTTCGAATCCAAGGAGCAGGTGAGCTCCCACTGTTAGGCACAGCTTCTGCCAACCTAGCAGTTTGAAAACATGCAAATGTGAGTAGGTCAATAGGTACTGCTTCCATTCAGTCATGCCGGCCACATGACCTTGGAGCTATCTGTGGACAACATTGGCTTTTTGGCTTAGAAATGCAGATGAGCACCACCTCCCAGAATCGGACATGACTAGACTTAATGTCAGGGGAAACCTTTACCTTTACCTTAGACTATAGTGGGATTCCAGATACTATATTGCTAAACTGCAACTTCTTTCAGCTTTAGTGGACCAATGTGCAGGATGCTGAAATTTACAAGTGAATTTACAGCTCAGAAAATATTCATCACAGCCAATATTGCATCAGCGAAGAATCGTCTGGCGGAGCTTTTCCGAGTTGTCAGGGGCCTGTTAAATCCGCCAAAAAGCGAGGCCTCGGACAACTCGGTGGCTCGCTGTGAAGCATTTGCTCGATCCTTCGCGGATAAAATTGAGCGGATTCGGTCGGGTTTTGACGTCATGTTAACGGCAGTCTCTGGGGATGTAACGAGTCCAGTTTTATTGGATTCTTTTCAATTGGTTCAGCTTGAGGATGTGGACAGGATCCTTGGAGAGGTGCGACCCACCACATGCATCCTAGACCCCTGCCCATCCTGGCTGATCAAGGAAGCCAGAGGGGGTTTGGCAGAGTGGGTGAAGGTGATGGTTAATGCCTCCTTACAGGAAGGAAAATTTCCAGCGAGCTTAAAACAAGCTATTATAAAACCGCTGTTGAAGAAACCATCACTGGATCCCACTCAATTCGACAACTATCGGCCAGTTTCCAATCTCCCCTATTGGGCAAAGTCATGGAACGTGTGGTGGCAACACAACTCCAGGGGTTTCTGGTAGACACTGATTATCTGGATCCGGCACAGTCTGGCTTTAGGCCGG